GTTTGTTTGTTTATTTATTGAATACTAGAGGGATAGTTTTTCACGAAAACGTTTTGATTATCTTTATTATGTAACTGCTATAGACATGGCACTTTTCATCTTAATTTGTATCAGTGGTTCACAGGGGAAATTTGGCAATGTCTGCAAATATATTTGAGGAGCCCTGGGCTGTGATTCACATGGCCGGCAGTTCAAAACCACCAGTAGCTCCACAGGAGAAAGACTAGGCTTTCTACTCCCCCCTAAACAGTTACAGTCTCAGAAACCCATGGGCCATCGCTATTGAGTCAGCATTGACTCAATGGCAGTGAGTTTGGGGTGTGTTTTTTGGATGGCATAGTGGTTATGCATTGGGTTGCCATCTGAAAAGTTAGTAGTTCAAAACCACCAGCTGCTCCTCTGGAGAAAGACAAAGCTTTCTACTCTCATAAAGAGTTACAGTCTCAGAAACCCACAGGGCAGTTCTACCCTGTCCTAGAGCCTCACTATGAGTTGGAATCGACTCGATGGCAGTGAGTTTGTTTTTTGTTTTTGTTTTTCCCAGATAGATTTGACTGAAGCAACTAGGGAAGGAGAGCTACTGCCATCTACTGGGTGGAGGCCAGAGACACAGCCCTCAGCCTCCACAACCATGATCTGCCCCAGGTTGAAAAGCCTCCATCTATTATTAATGTTTTTCATGATCTTGTAAAGAAACTGTTTTATTGACATATAATTCACACATTATACAATCCAATATTTCACATATTTAAAGGATTTGTGCAATCATCGCCACAGTCAATTTGAGAACATGTCCTTCTTTCTTGTACTCATTGTTCTGAGTTCCCCACTTCTAACCAGCCTCCCCTGCCACACCCCTAAGAAACCAAGGATCCAGTTACTGTCCTTATAGATTTAAGGATTTCTTATACAGAAAAACATACGAAACAAAAATTAAAACAAAACAAAACAAAAAACACCCCAACAACCATAACAAACATAAAAAAGAGAGAAACCTCAATCAGAAAGAAAGCTGACCATATGGAAAACTGGACTATCTTTAAAATGGGTCAAAAGGGAGATCAAATGGTAAGGTGTTCAATTTTAACTTAACTACTCGCAATAATCCACTTTCCACTGCACTCTATCTGAGAGCCAGGCTACTGACATCCCTGGTCTGTGGTCAGCGGGGATTCACCGAGGCTTAATCGCGCACGTGCGTGCGTGCCTGCGTGCGTGTGTGTGTGTGTGTGTGTGTGTGTGTGTGTGTGTACTCTGCAAATGGAAAGTCTATACAAACAGTAAAATGACAAAGTCAGATTTGTAGTGCTTGCCAATTTCTGGACTGTTACTACTTCTTCTATGGCTGATTTTAAGTTACCAATGTGACATTACCAAATGTGGAGCAGAAAGCGCGGTACTGTAGCACACCATCATTTAGAGTAGGATTGTGTTCTGTAGGGCCAGTGGATGGATTTTTTGAAGTAGATCAGCACAGTAGCAGGCTAGAGTGTTAACCATTTGTTAACCCAGGGACTCCTCCATGAGAAGATCCTATTCATTTTAACTTTAGCAGCACAGAAATAGTAAAATAGATAACAAAAGATGGAATCCATGTATTAATTTCTTTTGTTTATGGTCTCCAATCTTCAGGAAACTTATGTAAGTTTTGATAATGGCAATGTTTAACAACTAAGGAGCCCTGGTTGTGATATGAGCTTAGCAATGGGCCTCTTCTCGGGAGCAAGATGAGGCTGCCTGCTCCCGGAAAGATTTAGTCTTGGAAACCCTCTATAGGGTTGCTGTGAGTCAGAATTAATTCAGTGGCAGTGAGTTTTGCTTGGTTTTTATGGTTAATAACTAGTTCATAAAATTCTTGGGAATGCTAACAGTGGTTCCCTTTTGGGTCTGTCTGGATAGACTGGCTTCAGGATACCGTGGGAAGGATCTCCCACCACTCTTAAATCCACACATTTCATCCATCTGGGAAAGATTGACTCCATTCTCATTTCTTTTTTTCTTTCTTTTTTTAAAGGAAAGGGACTCTGATTGGCCCAAATTGGGCAGTTACCTACTTATGGTCTAGTCAATACAAAGTGCGATTAGCTATGAGGTGAATCCAAACACAGCCTGCTCCCTGACCCTTGAGAAGTTCCCTCGAGGGCCAGCTCTGAGTGGGTGAGCCCCCTCGGCTTTGTCCCTGACAAAGTGTAGACCCCCTTGGACAACTGCTTCTCCCCTGCTTCTGTTCCTGGAGACTTCCTGCAGACGGCTCTGCTCCCTCCCTCCCAGGGCCCCTCCGGAGGGTCTAATCTGTGGATCAGCAGCATCTGCCTCACAAGGGACTTCGTTTAAAATGCAAATTCTTAAGTCTTACCTCAGACGTACTGACTGAGAAACCCTGGGGATGGGGACCCGTATGCTGCGGTTTTCAGGAGCCTCAACACATTCTAAAAGTTGAAGATCACGGTATTTCATTGCATAGTGTGTTGTTGTTGCTAAATTCTGCCCCTTAGGGCAGCAACAAGGCAGTTCCTGGCCAAACTCCAACCTAATCCACGACCATCACAGTCACCCTGCGTACAACTGGCCCTTTGCGTTTTTGAAATCCCATCTGGATTGAATTCAGTATTTCCCTCCAGTCTCCAAAAGGCACAGATCATTTTTTATGATGAGTTGCTCCTTGGGAGGAATAATCTCGTCAATTGTTTATTGATTTTTACTGTTTCTTCTCTTAGAGATGATTGATCTTCAATTCTTGAGGATACTTTATTACAGTTTCATATATACTACTAAGTCATCTCTCTTACATAATTCATCTTTTCAGGATGTATCTCTGGAATACCCTACTAGCTGGTAACTTCTCTAAGCAGGGGTGGAGGAACTCTGTATATTTGGGATGGTCACTGAAACTAGAATCATACAGAGCTCGTAGAGGATATCTCAGGACTGCACTGAATAATTACAAAGACTGTAAACATCTTCCCCCCTTTGTAGTCCTTGACTTCCTTTTAGGGACATTATTTAAAATGTATTAATGTAATTTTTAAGGTTAAGATATTAATATATGTAAAGAATTTAATTACTATTTAATAAAATGAAATAACTGATAACTGCATTTTTCTCCCTGATTTATGCCTATCTGGATCCCCCTTTACCCCAAATTATGGAGTTCTCCCAAATTGTAACCTAACTAACTAAGGAACAATGCTGGGACAATAGCTCGACATTGTTTTCTTTTTGAGAGGAGATCACCAAGCCTTTCTTCCATGCCACACAGGGTGGGTTCAGATCACGTCCCTGCAGGTTAATCAGGTGAAAACGGTTTGCTCCACCCAGGGGTCTCTGATTATAGTTTCATTATTTTACTTCTTTTTCCTAATAGATATTCTATCATGAGCATCACTATATCTCTGAATATTTTTTCTGAAACATGGCTTATGAGTAATCATAATGTTATTCGATCAAATGTATAAGCTCTAACTTATTTAATCATTATATTTAGGACATGTGAGAGATTTCCAAGATTTCATTCTCAAAGTAGCTTATTGAAAGAACATTTTAAAGGCCTGTTTTTAAGATAAATACCTTCTCTTTTAGAATCAGGATTGATTTGTTCTTTGGAGCATTTTTATTTTGGTTATCTTTATTCCTTTTTATATGGAAAAGTTTGCTCAACCATTTTCCTGCTTAATCACTCATGCCTTATAGACGCTATAAGACCTTAATTAACTGCACATGTTTACATAAACAGCAGTATCCGTGAATGCCTAACATTTAAAAGGAGGCTGTCTATAGTCGCTAGTGGCCTTCTCAAAGATCCCTGGAGGAGTAATGGGCAAGGTTAACAGTTCGAAGCTGTGCTGAGGGGTCATGAGGAGGCATTCTACCGTGAGGAGTTCCAGCCTGAGAAACCCAGAGGCGGTTCTTCTCTCTCCCACGGGGTCATTATGGGTCGAATTGTCTCCATGGCAACGATCGGCGAGGGCGTGGCCTATGGTTTCCTCTCCAGTCGGGACAGCGATCCGGCTGAGTTCTTTGTAGACTTTCATTGCTTTACTACCGTCCAGGCCCGGTCTCTACATTTTCTGTCATAATCCCTAGCCTCTGAGTACATCTTCGCCAATCATGCCATTAATAATTTGATTGCTTAGCAATTTCATTTAACTTGAGGTGAATGCCCAATTTTGATTGCTTAGCAATTTCATTTAACTCGAGGTAAATGCCCAATTTTGATTGCTTAGCAATTTCATTTAACTTGAGGCGAATGCCCAATGATGTTCAAGATTTGCACGCCAGCCAGAACTGAGGAGGGGGAGACCAACGTACTTCTGAAATGACTTAAATGGACAGGGTGGCTTCATTTTACAGGGAACCTTGGCAGGTTCCCAGCGAACACTGTCCTTTTCCTCTCTGCCTGTGAGACAGCATTGGGATCCAGCTTTTCCTCATTCTTGACTTCAATAATTTATTTCGGTCGGCACGAAACTTCAGGGACATTGACAGATCCTTGATATCTTATTGGTCCTGTGAATTTATATCACAAGTAAGGATCCAGGAACCCTGGGGTGCTAACTGCAAGGTCGGCTCAAGCCCGCCAGCTGCTCACGGAAGGACGTTATGGCTAGTTGTTCCCGTCAAGGTTATAGCCTCAGAAACGTTGTGATGTGGGATCATTAAGATTCGGAATAACCTTGATGACAATGGATTTGGTTTTGCCGTAATTAACATAATAAAAGAAGCGTTAAAGATGCTTTTACACTTGCGCCAAGTCAAGCAGGTCAATCATTTATCCTTAAAATATATGGTAAAGTAAACTCGATTCAAAAGTTGCGGGTTTTCAACGTTTAGTCACACCTGAGCCGCGCTTCCGGAGGGCGCCGCTAGGGGGCGGTAGAGCTCAACCACTTCGTCAACAACCGGCGTCCTGGACACTCTCTTCCCTGCTCGCGTTTACTGCAGCTTCCGCCGGAAGCGGCTCCTGCCAGTTGTTGTTTTATGGTAATGAGTTCACGGAAGCACCGTCTGTGAGGCTTGCCAGTTGCCAAGCATCAGCGCGGGGGAAACTAGCGCTGCGAGATGGACATTCTCAAGTCGGAAATCCTCCGGAAGCGGCAGCTGGTGGAAGACAGGAACCTGTTGGCGGTGAGAACTCGCGGGGTCGAGGGCTCGGCCACAGAGGAGCTGGGGGAAGCGGGGTGGGCGACGCCGCCGTGGAGGTGGGGGGGAAGCCATCGCACCCAAAGGACTCGCGGGCGAGGGTGGGGCTCAGTGAGAGCCCTGCCACTGCCGCAGAACAACCCTTTAGCGATGAACTTACCGACTTCAAATTGGAAGCCTTAGGGAATTCCTGGAAAACTCAAGGTTTCTGGCGGTCTCCTTACCTACCCCCCACCCCCAACTGCCTCTTGTTGCCCCTCCGCCCGCGGCCCACTTAGCACTACCGGTGCATGTTCTTCGGACAGACCCCACTTTTTTGGTCGTTAACGTGTATTGCTTTCCTAGTTGAAACATACAGAAAGGGCAGCTTCGGGATTACCCTTTAAAAATCCCTGCATTTTTCCTTCCACAATAAAAAATATCCTTGCATCTTTTTACTCTGTTCCTCTCCTCTAACCCTTTCCATCCACGGACTGCAGTCTATTAGTTCTCCATTTGTTCTATTTATTGATACCCTATTAACTATTACGCCTCCTGAAGAATTTTTAAAGTATGTATTCACTGGTCAGCATCACTCAGTGACCCAAAGTAAAATATCGAGTCTCTTGAGTTACACGGATCTTCCTAATGTTGACACGTGTCATTGTACAATATAAAAATATTGCCGCCTTTGATAGCGCAGCTATCTCATGTAAAAATCCTTAAGATTTGGGAAATTATCTAGCTCTTACAGGTCCAAGCTTGTTTTTTTGGTTTTTTTTTTTTACAACTTTTTAATTTTTATTTGAAAACTGGAATTTTATCATACTCAACAAATGCTGCCAGTTTCCCTGCAGTGACAGGCTTACTTTGTTTATTTTCGGAAAATTGTCAGATATCTCAGTCTGAATAACTACCATTTCTCTGTTACTTGATTTTTCTTTGTTTCTTCCTCGGTATTCTTTCACGTGAGAGTGGTATTCTGTTGGTTTGCAGTTGAGATAGACAAATGCCTTTCCTTTGCACATCCACCGTACTTGGTATAAAGGAGAACAGCTGTATACCCGCTTCCCACTTTGGTTCACAGGATATTTAGAAGCTATAGTGAAGTGCCAGAATTTAAGAAAAATTAGTTTTACCGCTTCATCCTGGGCATCCTTAAGTGAAACTTGCTCCCCCATCTCCACTTATGAATGCTTAATCCATCGAGTCATTTCCCACTCCTAGGGCCCCTCTATGGAGTTTGCCAGGCTGTAAATGCTTAGGGGTGGAAAGAGTCTCATCTTTCTCCTGAAGAGCCTGAGGGGCTGGGAGAGCTTATCCAAGACCATGAGCAGTGTGCATTGTGACTACAGGGACAGTACAGTGCCGCAGCCTTGCTCTTTCCAGAGTCCAGCAGCCTTGCCATCATGTTTCACTCAGTGCAGATGTTGATAGAGTGAACAGGCAGTTAACCTCTTAGTACTGAAAATGGTTTTGACCTCACCTCACAGACCCTCTCAGAGGGTTTGAGGACCCCCAGGGATTTGTGGGCCACATTATCAGAACCTCGGATGTAGATCTTTGAATGAAATACATGATTAGATGAGTTGTAGTTATTACCTTGGTGGATAGCAAATTTCATAATCATTGAAACTTTAAAACAATTTGGAAAATGGAGCTAATTAAAATAGAGTGTTAATTACAAATAAGAGGGAAGAAACCCTTTGATATCTGTAATTTAGTATTTTTATCTGTATTCAGGAACCTTTCTTTTTTGATGAGAGGTTGGAAAGTAATAGTGGAAGGAAGGAAGGAAGGTGTTGAAATCTAGGTGCTTGAATCATGAAGTGCTCTGCTCATCCCTCGGTCTACAACCTGCACATTTGTATGATTGTGGAAATGAACCAGTCTTAAAAAGTGATGTTTTTTAAAGTGACATTGTCTCTTTTTAATTTCTAAAAAAAAAAATTATGAGCATATATAAATTTTTTTCAAATGGCTTCCATTTTTAGCAGTAGATTTATTACATAATCTGGTTCAGAAGAAAAGGTAGATTTCCTCAGTTATAGACTAGTAAATATATGAAATGGGAACTAAAATATGGGGCTTCCCAAAAACAGACTTCAGGCTAGGAGGGGCCAGTGGGGAGAGAGTCATAAAGGTCTGGAGACAGACTTTTTTTGGGGGATGGGAGGGAGTTGCCAGTTTTTTTTTTCCCTCTTTTTATTCAGTCTTTTTTCTGTTTTGCCTTTGTTGTTCTTGGTTTGCTTACCAATATAAGACAGGCATGGGAAGCAGCCCCGAGGAGAAAGCAACATGACCAATGGTTCCAGGGGGACTTGGAGAGGGAGCAGGGCAGGCAGGGGAAGGGAGCAGTGAGCAAGTAGCGCCATAGACAGGGAACAACCAGGGAATTAAACAACGAGCAGGATGTAGAAATCTTGTGGGTGCTGGAGCAGCAACAATCTAGCTGAGAGGAATTACTAAGAGGCAGAAGAAGGGTGAGTGTAATGATGAGACAGGAGGAAGGTGAAAGGAAGCAGAGGAAAGATCTAGGAAGCAAAGTTATGGATAGAGGTATAAACATAGGTGTGCACCTCTGTAAATATATGAATTCATAAAAATAGAGGTTTTGGCATAGGTACATATATTTATATGGCAATACATTGAGGTAGGGCCTCTGCTCAAGCCCTCCCTCAATGCAAGAACACTGTTCTAACAACCTGGAATTCTGGAATGCTCACCCTCCTGCACGATTGCCAAAGACAAAGTGGGTGCACAAGCAAATGCATTGAAGAAAGCTGATGATGCCTGGCTATCAAAAGATATAGTATCTGGGGTCTTAAAGGCTTAAAGTTAAACAAGTGGTCATCTAGCAGAGAAGCAACAAGCCCACATGGAATAAGCATACGAGCCTGTGTGATCATGAGGTCTCAATGGAATCAGGTAACAGGCATCAGAAGACCCAAAACAAACAAACAAACAAACAAACAAACAAACAAACATTGCTGAGAACGAGGGGGTTGGAGCAGAGACCTAAAACCCATCTGTACACAATGGGACATCCCCTCACAGAGGGGTCACAAGGAACGGATGTGTCAACCAAGGCGCAGTATAGCACTGATGAAACACACAATAGTCTTCTAGTTCTTTGAGGCTTCCTTACCCTCCACCATCATGACCGCAGTCCTGCCTTTCAGTTCTGGCTATCCCGGAGCATGTACACTGGTACATTTAAGAGCTCATGACATGAAACCCAGGTCAGATAAATCCCTCAGGAACAGAAATGGGAATAGTAAAACCAGGAGGGTCCGAGGGGAGATGGGGGAACCAATTGCAGTGATCAACGCATACCTGCCTGCCCTCACCCCACCCCACTGACCCGGAGGACAGACAACATAAACTGTCGGAGAGGGAGACAGCGGTCAGTGTATGATATGAAAATAATAATTTATAATTTATCAAGGGGTCATGAAGGAGGGAGAGAGGGAGGCAAAAAGGAGCTGATACCAAGGGCTCAAATAGAAAGTATTCATAAAATAACAATGACAACATATGTATAAATATGCTTGATATAATTGATGTATACATTGTTATAAGAGCTGTAAGAGCCCCCCCCCCAAAAAAAATGGTCTTAAAAATAAATTAAAAAAAATATGGGACTTACTAATTTCTGTTACTAATCTGTGAGGTGGTGTGCAAAATGCTTTATATATCTTATTTGTATAGCAGTCCCATAAAGGTACTACAATGACCATGACAAGTCTGCCTTGTTTTTCCAAGTCTCACAACTTTTCTGCCTTTGAAAGGTGCTTGCCATTTTTCTATCACTGTCTGTTAGTGCGGAAGGAGTCTTGGTGGTGTAGTGGTTCTTCCTTCGGCTGCCATCTGCAAGGTCAGGAGTTCAATACCACCAGTAAGACTTTCTCCTCCTGTATGGGCCTTTCAAGTCCCGTAAAGAGTTACAGTCTCAGAAGCTCACAGGGGCAGTTTATCCTCTCCTATAGAGTCGCTATGGGCTTGGCATTGACTCGAAGGCAGTGAATTTGTTTGTGGTTTGTTTTATGAGTGGGAAATCTTTGAGATTTCCTTCTCTGACAGGTTTCCACCTTACATAGGTTCTAACCTTCTTAGGATTTACTATATTATTCCCATTCACAAACGAGGTAACTAAAGCTAAACTAATTTCATGACATATAGTAGCATAACTAATGAGACAAAGCGTGGATTTAAACCCCTACCTGTCCCATTTCTAAGCCTCCTCAACGCCTAAAAATTTTAAAACTAATATCCACTGTTTTTGTAGGTTTATTTATCAAAGAATTAAAGTATTTATAAATTAAGTTAATATACATGATTTATATTTTTGAAGGGGCTATATAATGCTTATATCATTTGACTTCCATACTCTGCTCTGGTTGTTGCGTAGATCCAGTATAATGCTGTTTTCATGGGTGGTGGAGTTGAGGCCTAGAGAGTGACATGATATTCACATAGTCCTATGGCAGCCAGGATAGATCTCAGTCTCTCAACTCCTCGCTGAGCACTCGTGTATAGTATCAGAGAATAATGTCTAAATGGACCCCATCTGTTAGTTTGTGGTACTGTGGTGACTAGAGTGTTGCTGTGATGCTGCAAGTTATGCCGCTGGTATTTCAAATGCAAGCATGGTAACCCATGATAAACAAGCTTCAGTGGAGCTTCCAGACTGAACAAATACTGGAAGAAGGAATAGGTGGCTTGTTTCTGAGGGATTAGCCGTGGAAACTTTAGGAATAGAGAGAGGACATTGTCTAACACCAGGCAGACAAACCCCTCAGGCTGGAAGACACTCAGAATACAAGACAAGAGCTACCTTCAAGTGGAGTCAGTCTTAATGATGTGGATAGAACAAAGCTTTGGGACCTTCATTTGCTGATGAAATATGACATCCATTAATCAGAACGCAGAATGAACAAAGTATGAATCTGGGCAAATAAAAATTTGTAGAACATGAAATGGAATACATAATGATTATTATCTTG